TAGAGAGCTACTCCAGGAGTGCACCCGAGTGCCTACAGCAGGGGTGGGCAAAATGTGGCCCCCATCAGGCCATTCTATCTGGCCCGCAGGGCCCCTAAAAAATTTAGAAAAATTAATATTTATCTGCCCCTGGCTGCCTGTCATGTGGCCCTCGATGGCTTGCCAAAACTCAGTAAGTGGCCCTCCACCCAAAATAATTGTCCGCCCCGGCCTACAGTGTGAAGGAAATGTGCCTTGCATCTTCAATAAGAGGCATAATCTACAGATCGATTCAAGACCTTTTCAGTTTTTCAAAAGCATTAGAAATGTGTTTAATTTTGGAAACTGTGTGGAAACAGATCAGAAACTTTTGGGAAGAGCAATAAACTGATCACACTGCCTGTTGACTTTTGAAAACTGGACCTAGCAAAGCAGAAACCAAAATTCAATGGCATTGTTTTGGAATTACAATAGTCTGATCTACAGTTTGCAAAGGAAACTACTTATCTATGATTGCTTGGCAAGGAGGCAATTTGGGCAAATTTCTTCGAAAGTTTTTATTTAACAGCAAAGCTATTCTAACAAGGACAGTGTTAAAAGGTTATATCATATTAATTTATTTCACAGTTTGTTTGCCTGCCTGAAAAGTCATATGCTGAATACAAAGTTAACTTCAGATATAAAGTTATGTAACTTTCTAATGCGTTCCTTCACCTCCACATATCACATGCAGGTCTCTACACTTCATGTACTTTGCACTTAAAACATTTTCCATTTATACCTTTAAAGTATTTATGTGCCTTATAGCTAAAAACTTTCAAACCAAGCAGATTAATAGTAGCTTTGAATTTCTTAATAAGCTGTTAATTACTTAAGGTTATGATCCCTTTTAATGCCAATGCTATTAATCTTTTATTGCTGATTATTGCAGCAAAAACATATTCTAGCTGTTTGTTCCATATAAACAAGCTCTATTTATACCAAAGAAGGGGGAAACAATTGGCCATATTGTTTACTGGAAAGAGTTAGACATCCTGGAGACAGTGCAGTGACCCTAACCAACACTGTTTTTTGACATGAGCTTACCTAGATTAATAAACAATTTAATTTTCAAGACACTGTTTTAGTCTATCATGCCAAACATATAACGCAAAGCAAAGCAAACAAAAAAAATTTGGTCTCCGAGGAGCTGAACACCTGCAACTCATGCTAGTTTCAGCACTGTTGTGGATTCCTGGCATCTTTAAAAGCCAAATCCATTATTGTATATTTGGCAAAACAACAAATGGAGCTTCTTAGCTCGCGTTAGCAAATGTACCTCTTCAGCTACCACTGTTAGGCTCCTTCCTCTGCCCCTTTGCTTTTCCTTTTCTTGCCAAGACTGATTTAAAGATTATCCAAATATGCACTACATGTCTCCCCACACCTCAAAACTCCAAGTAAATAAATTAGATTTCAACAGCAAATTTAGGCACAAACATTAAATTCAGACATGGTACATCATTTTATGACTGATTCAACTAAGATACTTAGCTTGATACAGGGCATGTGAATTTGGGTGTGGGTGGGTGGTTAATGCCGTTTTAAGGTAATTCCATCCTTTCCAATACATTGCTTTCCTGATCGTAATCTTGACTCCTAAACACAACTTATAATTTCCAAGATAAACCAAAAATGTTACCCTTTGGCGTTCAAGCCCCACCCCTTGTAGAGATGACAATTTTTTTCCAGCTCAAGTATCTGCGCCTGGGAACTTCCTTAAATTATTTAAAAAACATTTATGAACTGCTTGGGAAAGAGTCTCCATAAATCTCAAGAGAGGTGTGGGGAAATTTACATGCACTATAGGGTCTGATGCTGGAAGATAATCAGGGTCCGGATGGAAGAGAATAAGAGAGAAAAAATGCGCTAGAACTTAAGCCCCCCTTATGCTGCAAGAACAGTTTTGATTTTGCGGCTTTTTTAAGTGATGCAAGAAGGGCCCTTGCAAACTACTAAGTCCACAGCTCTCTGATATGTTTTCCAGAGTGCACAAAAAGAAGAATATATTATTTGATCTTTATTATACATAAATCTAATAGAAACTATTATTATTAAATTAAGTTTCCAGAGCCCAAAGTCACCAGCACTGACTTAGGTAACCACACTGACGCTAATACAGTGTTAAAAAAATCTGCTTGAGTTATGACAAGCCAAAAAAAATTAAGAAAATATTGAAGAAATGAGAAATTTCTTTGATCTCTAACAGCACCCACAAACCCTATCTGACTTTTAGAACCTGCAAGTGAATTTAAAGAACAGAAAATTAATATAAGTGTGGACATAAACATGCTGATTCTAGCAAAACATGCAGTACAGAAAGCACCATGAACAATAATGGCACTTTATTTCTATTTTTCTTACCCTGGCTTCTAAAGTCACTTTAGAGACCAGAACTTTGTATCTTGACAAGGATTACATAAAAATCCTACCACTTTGTTGACAGCCTCCATATCACATAGGTTTTCCACTAAAATTCGACAGGCTTCTTCTTTACCCCAATGAGCAGAAGCATGAAGTGGTGTCCAGCCATCATAATCTTTAATATTTACATCATAGCCAGCCTGTATTAAAAGCCTAAAGAAATTAGAAAAAAATAGGTGTTGTAGTTGAGACTAGTAATGTGCCATTACTTTCTAAAATTATTTTATAAAGTAAGTTTTAATTTTCTTGCCTTCACTTTAACTCTCACGTAGGATTAACAACAAATTTTTTTTTAAGACTTGTCAACTTACAAGGCACATTTCCTCCTAAAAATATATTCCTTCATCAGTACAGTAAATTTAGTGCAACTTAAAGTTAAGAAAAATATTTTTTGCACTGTATTCAATAATTTGTTACTGGCAAACCAATTTTACTGTTTCCCTGTACAGTGGGAGAGTTCTATATGCTGCAGTCCTCAGGAAAACAGGGCCCCTCAAGTCTGTGATGTGCGCTGCAGATTACATACAGCTCCAACATTTTCTGGGCATTTTAAAGAAGTTTGCAAAGAAAAGTAGTACATAGAACCTTTATTACTGTATAATAGCACTGAACCTTTATTACAGTGCAATAGCGCTGTACAGCCTAAGCCACACATATGGAGGGTTTATCTGACAACCAGGAAACTGATGAATATGCAGGGTGATTAGTAAAGCTGTATGAAGCTTTGGTCACTGATTCAATTTGGAGGAGATTCGGCCTGATTCAGCGGCTGAATCTCCAAATCCGAATCAAATCAGGAGACCCATTAATCTCTCTGAATTGAATCGGAAGCCTACAATTCGATTTGGAGATTTGACAATTCGGCCATAGATACAGCTTTAAATGTTTTTTCTACGTACCTCCGAGGTACTAGGTGCAGCTCAAGAATGCTGAGATGGAGTGGACGGAGTGTCGCAGAGAAGCACGGGGAGATTCACCATGAGCTTAGCAGCGGACCCGGAAGTGGACCAGAAGTACTTCCGGTGCATTTCCAGGTGCACTGCAGAGCACACGGGGGACCCCCTCACCCCCTGGCTCAGCGACTGGTGCCTACTGGGCGGGACACCCAGAGTCACCCTGAGGCCGACTTACAAGCCAGGGGGACGGGGGGGGGCGCACCACTGAGCACATGGAGGATCCCCCTGCACTCCCATGGGATGCTCCATCTGCCCCACCGTCTCAGTATTCACGAGCCGCACCTGGTACCTTGAGGAACACAGAAAAAACATACAAAACTGTGTCTATGGCAGAATCACCAATTCTTCAAATCAGAATTGCATCTTCACATTCAGATTCAGCCAAATCAAATCAGGGCAGTGATCTGAATCAACGAATCGAATCATTGTCCCCTGAATCAGGCCAAATCTGAATAGAATACTGTCCACTTCGCACACCCCTAGTGATAAGCAAATCCTGCAAAGCCCATTGGCAGGTGCTGGATAGCAGCAGGATCCTGGCTCTACTCAGCTGAACTAAGTGGCAAGCAGGACAGTGTTGCCACCATAGGGGACCTTTGAGTTCAGCAGCACTTGGTTTTGCCAGCACAGCTGTGCCCCTCTGTGTGCTATAAACAAAGTTGCTTAAGTAGCTGCTTAAATGATTCTTCTGAAATACAATTAATAAGGTGCTAACAGGGAGGCTTACAAAGAGGCACAACGATTAAAACAAAAACTAGTTGTGCACCAATAAAGATTTTCTTGGCCGATACCAACAGCTGATTATTAACCAGGCATATCAGCTGATACTGATCTGATAGTCAATTTACAGGAATGTAGCCTGGCAGCTTGGAGAGCAGCACCTTGCAGGTAACTCTGTGGAAAGGAAGGGGTGTGAGGAGATAATTGAGGGGATGAGTGAGGGAGTGGAGCAGGGACAGAGGCTGCCCGGTTAGGGCAGCGAATGGAATTCTGTGCCAGGGAGTGGGACGGAGCCCACGTGCGGCTCATCCAGGACACATGGGGAGTAGGGGAGGGATGAGGAGGGAGGCAGCTCCCCTATGCTGTGTGTACCCCCAGGGGAGGCATGTGCCCTCTCCCCCAGATTTGTGCGTGGGGCAGAAGTGGACAGCTCACTACGGTCTCGGGGCCAGGGACAGTGCCAGCCTCTTCCCAGTGTGGGGACTGGGCAAGAGCTGGGATCAGAGCGGGTGGGAGCGGGACAGGCTCAGCTGGGTGAGGCAGGCAGCAGCGTTACTGGCAGGGGTGGCTATGGCAAATTTTGGGGTGGCTATAACCCCCACGAGCCCCTAATAGCACCGCCTCTGCTCAAGGCACTTCACTCTGCTGCCTTTCCCATGGGAGCCCTGCACTGCAGGGTGGACAGGGGACACGCAGCTGGTGCAGGGCTCCTGAGGGAAAGCCAGCAGAACAGATTGCCCCAAGCAGGGGTGGCGCTAGGGCAAGGATTGGGGGGCCCTACAGCCACCCTAAAATCTGCCTAAGCCTCTTGTAGTCATTCCACCCAATGCCACTGCCGCCACCCGACCTGCACAGCAATGCCAGTCCTGCTCCTGCCCACTCTAAGCCCAGCCCCTGCACTGGAAAAAGAGGCTGGCACTGTCCCTGGCCTCCGAGCCCATACCCAGCAGCCCACCTTCACCCCGCACACAAATCCAGCATTTATCAGTGACATTATGGGCTACACTGGTCAAAAAAAAAAAAGCTAGTAGACAATAATGTTAATTTTTCTTTTAAATCGGTGCTGATCAGATATGTGACCAATATATGGGTGCACCTCTAACAAAAACAGCAGGCACTGCTAATTCATTTAAATGGTACCTTGAATACGGAAATAAGTATGATTTGGCGTGCCAGATTTAAATGGCTGCTGTGTTATCTGAAGGCATTTTAAGGGGCTTGCGTGGTTTTAATGAACAGCAACAGGAATCAGTAATCCTAGCTGTGGTATAAAAACCTAGTTTCTTAGTTTCTCTCAGACTGAACTGCTTGCACCTGGACAAATAGCCTTTAGATGTACTTTTTTACTGCATACATAAATCAATGACTTAAACAAAGTTTTATAATATTATAGAATGGCCTCAAATGCTGCTTGCAAACACAGAGCAGTAGTTTTCAATCTTTTTTTTTTTTTTTTAATTGTGAACCCCTAAAAAATTAAATGGAGGTGTGGACCCCTTTGAATTGCAAGTGTGGGTATTTACATATTTCTGATTGATCATAATCATCTTTCAGAGCCCTTAGACAATCTGAGACCACAGACTGAAAACCAGTGACAGAGCAAACAAAAGATTCCGAAAAAAACCCTTTTTAGCTATAATAAAAACATTAGCTTTTCTTGAAATGGATTCAAATTTAATATGGACAATACTCTCAAGTTTTAAATAGCTTATCTACAAACTACAGCATTGTTTTAAGTTTCAAATTTGGTGACAACAGGAAATAACTGCAAGAAATAGGCATTCCTAAAGATCACAATTTTTTCCAAGATATAGTTAAAGAAGGTGGGGAAGTTTCAATATTATTAAAATCAAAATTAGTTACAGCAACATGAAGATAAACATGGAGACATGGAACATTTACTGTTTAGAAACCATACTTACTTTAAAACCTCTGTATACCCCTTAGCAGCAGCTACATGAAGTGCTGTACCACCAGATTTTGCATGCCTGACATCATTTATACGGCCACTGTTAAGCCACTGTCTTGCATCTCTAAGCATTATTCGTTCTTCTTCTTTTCTAGCTGCTTCTATGTCAACCCCTAGTTGAGAGAAGAAAAAGAAGTTATATTTAAACAAACCAACCTAAACTGATTTCCAGGAGGATTCTTGCACCTGCTTCACGTGATGCAGTAAAAACCACAAATAAACAATATCATTTTTTGCAGCATATTAGGCGCTTCCCCTCATTTTGCAGAAGAGGCTTGATATATCTTATATAGAATGTAAACAATACCACAAAATTATGAATAGGAAAAAACAGAAAAAATTAATACAATTTAAACAGAATTGAATGCTTTGTGTGAAGTTTAAAAAGGATGGTGAAGTTTTCCAAAGTAGAACACACACAATTCAAACATCTTTTAACTGACAAGCCACGGTAGGGGAAGAAAATACACTAACCCAGGGAAAGGCAAAAAGCTAAGGCTAGATCTAAGCTAGCTATAAATATATAGATAGCTATGTATGCTGAACAGAACACTTAAAGACAGCTGAGAATGATAAGCATAGAAGAAAAAAAAAAGCTTTTGGCAACTATGGCTATCAAGAGCTCAAATCAAACTAGCTGGGCATATAAACAAAAATCATGGCTATTTCACTGGTAATCAGGCCCAGGTTAGAATAAGATCCCCCTTGAAGTTATATACTGCATCAACCACAACCTTGAACAGAAAACAATTAATGTTATTCACATAAATTAGTACTGCCAACAAGTTCTAAAAGGACACAACTATTTTTTAGTTCCTCAAGGATCCCAAGCGTTTTGGTTTCCAACATTTTAATATGAGCAAAAGAAATATGGAAGCCAAGGGCTACACTTACATGAAGTTTAAGAAGTATTCACAAAATAGAGAAGCAAGTGGTAGCTGCAACAACCACCTCTTCAATTTTATGAATAAAGGGGTTAGGACAATTTCTTGGGATGTGAGAGACACCCATTTTAATCCCTCATTTGCTTAATTTAAAACCCATACTCCATACTTCCCAGCATAATACTCTAATTGCTGGACTATAAGGTTTTTTTGATGAGCCTCAACTGTTTGAATGCATAATTCTAGGACTAGTTTCTATTCTAACAACAATCTCTGGTCACTCTTTTTATAAAATGTTTACAGATGTACCCTTTACTTGATTAAAAAAAGATTACCAAGCAAACAAACAATTAGTATTACTGACAGAACCACATGTTAAATATGCAGTTATAAGCAAGCCACAGAATTCATTTTTAAACATTACATAAGAAACGCCATACTGGGTTAGACCAGGGATACTCAACCTCTGGCCAGTGGCCCTGATGCACCCTGCACAGCGATGGCATCTGGCCTATGGGTCAGGAAATTTGGTGGACCTGGAGTGGTGGCAATTAATGTGATCACCCTCTCCCACTGCCAAATTCCCAAACCCCAAGCTCCACATGGTGGGTCAGAGCTGGGCCACGCCCCCTTCCCTACTCATGGCCAAATTGGGGTCAAGCTGTATCGATCCCCTTCCCCCTACAGGGCTAGGTACATGAACACTGTGCCCCGGGAGGCTGGGGTGGGGGGCACCAGAGGGGTGAGGACCTCCCGCAGGCGGTAGTGGCAGTGTTACCAGCAGAAGCGTAGAGGCGGTAAGCTCACTCAGGCAGCTGCAGCAATGTCGTCAAACGGGGGTGGGGAGCCACGGGGTGGCAACCACCCACAGACGCCAGTGGCAGCATCCAACAGCGATCGGGGACCGCCCGCAGACACCACTGGCAGCCTCAGCAGCGAGAGGGCGGATGGCGAGCAGCGACCGCCCACAGGCACTACCAGCAGCGCTTTTTGCAAGGGGTGCACATGCACCCCCTACGCATCGCCAATGGCTAGGTCAAACCCTCTCTCCCTCCCTTGGGGCCTGATTAGAGGGATCAAGCCCCCTTTCCCCACAGGGTTAGTTTGAGGCTGGGCCCACCTCCTCCCTCCATGTGGCCAGATGGGAGCTCACTGAGTCTGTCCTGAGCAACAGATTGGGACAACCAGCTGGATCCAGCCTGTGGACAGACCAAGCACCGCCCATCCGGCATGCTGGGCAAAAAGCTAGAGCCCACCGAGTCAGACAATAGTCTACCTAGTCCACCTAGCAGGGACAAGTCTACCTAGCAGGGATCGGCAACCCCTGGCATGCGTGCCAAGCATGGCACACGAGACCATTTTGCTCAGCACACCACTGCCAGCCCTGGCTCTGGGTAGCTACTGCCAGCCATGGAGCCCGGGCTGTGCCTAGCAGGTGGATGGGAGGCTGCAAGGCCTGCTGG